AATTATTTTAAATATAGTAACTATGTTTTTATTTTCTGATCGCCTAGAAAGGATAACAAATATATTATTTTTTCTTTTAACAATTTGTGACCTCGAATCACTGCACGGCTTGCTCAGCTATGGGGTGAAACTGATGCCTTTATGTTAAAAGATTGGCAGCGTTGTTGCTTGTAGTTTGTGGTTTGGTTGGATGGAACAGTCGTTGCGATTCATTGACATTCCAATTCCTTCGGCCTTCATTCAGAGTCTAGTTGCTGTTCCAGGTAGGGTCTTGCATCAAAATGTGGCCAAAAAGTTTTTTTAGTATTTATCACAATCGCATGCACATTCTAAAAGTATTTGGTCCATTCATAAAAAAAAAAAAAAAAGTCATCCGATTAAATAGGGACGGAATTTGTTTCTTTGACGAATTTGTCAAATTTAAACCACATATTAATAGCACCCAAAATAAATTTTTTAAAAAATATGGTAGAATCGTGGAAGACATTGCCATTGGGAAGTTGCATGAAATAAATAAATAAATAAAAACTCAAGAAATAATGCACATATGACCAATTATCGAGAGAGAGGAGAGAGAGTTTGAGGTCAAAACGCTATTGTGAAACTAAGCTTATGATAGCTCTTTGAAAAGCCCCAGATATCTACTTTTATTAGGCACTGAATTTGTAATTTTTGAGACTGTGTGAAATATTTTATGATTATTCTCGTAACAGCTGCCAAAGCTGTCTTTTCTAAGAATCGATAAAACAAATAACTGAAACCCGTACTTTTTGAAATAGTATTACTGCATCTAAACCAATGTTACTACCATTTAGAACATTTTATTAGTTACGTGTTGGAGTTGGAATCAAGTCATTTGGAGTTTAGTAACCCGAGTTGTGCGCATTGCAAGTTTCATGTAAAAACCTTTAAAAAGCTGTCAAAACCAGAAAATAATAGAATTTTGATTTCTTGAAAACTGTTTTTGAGGTAGTTAGAGAACTCGGATTTGAACATATGGTAACTCGTTTCGAAGCTCTATCTGTCTACTTTATTCAGAAACTGGAATTTGAACCCCAACTCCTAGAACTGAGATTGCGACACTTAAGAAACTTAGCCTACCATTTAATGTGTGTCATTAGTGACGTGTAGCACTTGGAATGACTCCGTTTGGAGTTTTGTAGACCGAGATGAAAAGTGTGAATTTGAACCCCCAACTCCTAGAACTGAGATTGTGACACTTAAGACACTTAGCCTACCATTTAATGTGTGTCATTAGTGACGTGTAGCACTTAGAATGACTCCATTTGGAGTTTTGTAGGCTGAGATGTACGTAGTTGAAGTTTCACATAAAATTTTTTTGAAATGCCTTGAAAAGTTAAAATTTCATAATTTAAATTTCTTGCTAGATGTATTTGAAAGGCTTAGAATATTTAAAATAGAGCATGTAATAACTCATTAGAAAGTCCTAGATGTCTATTTTCATTAGGAACCAGTATTCTACCATTTGGAGACATGTAATACAATTTGCACGTGTTTCCGTAACAGACGTCAAATCAACCCATATGTGAGATTAAAGAACTGGGCGAATTGAATGATTCTTTTAGATAAAGAACTAAGTGAAGGACTTCCCTAAGTACTTAGCTTAAGGTGCTTGGCTAGATGTTGAGAATCTAGAACTTTTTGAGTAATGTGCAAGAATCACGTTCGTGATGTTTCTTGTTCACTAATTCTATAACTTTGTATAACCCTTCTCGTTAGAAGTTGAAAGTTTAGACATGTGTATAGAGATGATAATTCACCTCGTTGATATACGAAAAGCCGTGATCATATAAGAAAACACAAGGAGTCGCAAAGTGATGAAATTGGTAACATTGTTTGTTTTCTTGCATTTCATTGTTGTTGTTTTCGCAAGTTTAACCGTTACCCAGGTTTTGTTTTAATTCTGAGGATGAAATTTCTTTAAGGGGGTAGGGTGTAATTAACATCCTGTTAAATTAATTGAGATTAATTAATTTAATCCGATAGTTATTGTTAATTAATCTGATATCAGTGAAACAATTTCAGTTATAATTATCATGTAAGGCCCTTTCCTTTTAGAAAGGATTGGGTTGAAATTGACAATGCTGTCCCCCGAGCAGTTTTAAAGTGTCGGTAGCTAATTTTTCAGAATAGGAATAATAGGTCATTTCATACTCTATTCAAATTGGGCTTTGAAGTCTAATCATAATATTTGCCCAAAAAGTCTAAGCTCATTTTTTATTTTTCCTTTCATTTTTCTTTCTTTCTCTCCTCTCACACGTCTCTCTCTCCACGCCGGCCAAACACTCGGATGAGGATTTTGGTGTTTGTTTTTACCACCTCCCGGCTCGTTGGAAAGCTCTCGATGAGTTGAGAATTTTGACAGGTCACATGACCTCAAACTCCTCCGAACGAAGCCGCAATCACTGGCCGAAGTTCTGAAAACAATCGAAACTTTCAATCGTGATATCTCCTTCGTCCGATATCTGATCGAGGTGATTTCAATTCCTATAGATTCAGACTAATTCAGAATGAAGAGATGAAGAAAACCTAACCATTTTTGCAGCTCATCGCTGGCCAAAACGCCGCAGTCAAAGTCATCGGAAAAGTCACTCGCCGCCACCTTCGGTTTTCCATCTCCGGCCAGTTTTGGTTGGCACCACCCTCACTACTAGGTTTAGAACTGAAAGACGAGTTGATCCCGACCAGTTTCAACCGTCACCGTTTGGCCGGAAAACAGAGCCACGGCCCCCATCCGAGGAGGTAAGGGGTGGTTCCGACGATCTAACCGTTGGATCGCCGTGATTTTGTTGTCAAAACACTAAGATCACGGGTAAGAAAACCCTTTAACCAATTTTAAGATTTCATTGTCAGAAATCTGATATTTGAGTTGAAAGATTTTACTGACGTTGTCGGTCCCGATCTGTAGTTTTAGGGGCTGAATTGTGTGAAATTGACTACACCATTGAACTTAGAAGGGTCGATTTAGGGTGGCTAAGAGCCAAGTCCATGGCAGAAATATGCTCCGGCAATCTCTGCCGCCGCTGTCGCTGATGGTCAGATTCTGGTGAGCTTCTGTTCAGCAACCTCCCGACCTCTGGTCAACGATCCAAGACCATATCCTGACTCATTTCAATGTGCTAAACGCAGCGGTGTCTTCCGTTGGTGCTAATTCCACTATGTTGAAAAATCTACTGGTACTGTGCACGTAAATCAAGGCGAATCGAACGAATTCGTTGAAGTTTAGAGCAAGCTATCCAACACATCTAGGTCAAGAGGGCTTTAAAACAATTATGGACCCGACAAGTATGGCAAGCAGAACTAGCGACACGATCGGACATGGAGCTTCAAGAATAGACTGTTAGACAGCGTGAAGTTATCCGTAAATTAAATTGCCAAGAGGTAGGATATTCTTCCCTTATCCTTGTTAGTCTGTTTTAAAGTATTTTGGCCATGTAAATGTTTTTAAAAGACAAAAACATGTTTGATAAAGAAAAACACATTATTGCTCTTGATCTCATAATAAACTGATTTCAAGTTTTAATGAATTGTTTCTTAAGAAAAGATATCTTGTGAACTGGTAAGCCCGTTGATGGCCTAGATAGGATATGAAGATTGTATCCTTAGGAGCAAGACCCAAAACCCGGACAGGACCACTACGGTGGTGTTTAGGCTTGTGCTTGTGGTTGTGTAAGTAATTTATCATATTACAAATTACTTGTTGATGCCTGTAATACGGAATTTAAAGTTTATACTTCCTTTCAGAAAAAAGATGTTAGGTTCCAGCTGTAGTGTTTGAACTGGATATCTTTATTTATTTATTTACTTGTTTATAAAGTTTTCTTAAATATATCATACTGGGCATTTCACTCATTTTTCCTCTATTTTCAATGTTTTAACCCCTCCCACCAGAGTTAGTAGCTTGACTAGCAATGTGGTAAGCTGATGCCAACGAATTGAAGGCTCGAGATACGAGGTGATTTATTTTAATTAGAAATTTACAGTTTTTAAATTCTAAAGTTGTACTGTATATTTGTATATGATCTGTATTGGTCGGCATTTCCCTGAGATGTGTAAAGTTTAAATCTATGGACTTTTTTAATATTATTTGTAAAAGAAAGTCTCAAGAGTAAACTATCTTGATATTTATGTATTTATTTCTGTGATTTTTGTTAAATAGACCGGTTTAATTTTGTCACGACCCCAAAGATGAGACTGTGATTATTGGAATTTAATTTAAAAATTAACTTAATTAAACTAGCGACAAGCTGCAAAAATGGTCGAGTTTTCTTCGTCTCTTCATTCTGAATCTATAGGAACTGAAATCACCTCGATTGGATATCGGACGAAAGAGATATCGCGATCGAAAGTTTCGATTGTTTTTAGAACTTTGACTGGCGATTGCGGCTTCATTCGGAGTAGTTTGAGGTCGTGTGACCTGTCAAAATGCTCAGCTCATTGGGACCTTTCCAACAAGCCGGAAGGTGTCAAAACGCACACCAAAATCCTCATCGAAGTGTTTGGCCGGCGTGGAGAAAGAAAGGATAGAGAGACGTGCGAGAGGAGAGAAATGGAGAGAAAGAAAGAAAAGGGAAAGAAAAAAGGGAAAATGGGCTTAGGTTTTCTAGCAAATATTATGAATTTATGATTAATTTCAAAGCCCAATTTATATAGAGTATAAAATGACTCATTATTTATGTTCCGAAAAATTAGCTACCGACACTTTAAAACTGTTCGGGGGACAACAGTGTCAATTTCAACACAATCATTTTTAAAAGGAAAGGTACTTACGTGATAATTGTAACTGAAATTCTTTCACTGATATCGGATTAATTAACACTAACCATCAAATTAAATTAATTAATCTCAATTAATTTAACCGAATGTTACACCATACCATTACTTTTATTATAAATAACAAATAAAGTAACCAAACAAATCAAAAGTTTTGCTAAGAAAAAAAAAAAAGTATCTACGATGTATACATTGCTCTAGGGAAAAAAAAACGAAGAGAATTTGTATATTTACCCAATTTTAATAAAAGAATTTGCTGGAATGGAGTACCTACAAGAAAACATCGCCTTCAAGCTTGTATTTAATCAAATATTCCTTGCTTTCAGCTCAAGAAACTTGTTTAGATTTGCACCACTTGAAAGTAAGTTCAACTTCGTTTTCCTTTTTCATTTCAGCTAGAACAATTTCTTCGAATGCGTTTACGAGTATAAACACAGCTCTTCACTTGGATTTTTTCAAGCATTCTTGAGATAACCCGAAATCCTTGTTGGTAGTAACATTTTGCCTCCAAGGATCATGGTGTAACTTGTGATGCAGAATCTGATTAAGAACAGATCAATTAGGATAACGAGCTTTAAATACAGAATCACAGACCTGTAAACATGTACAGCAGTTAAAATTCAAGATATTATATTAATGGTATGGGCTCCAACTTTTTAATATGAACTCCGACGGGACATGGGAATTGTCATTCTTTTGTTGGTAGGTTATCTAAAAAACCGTTACTATTAAAAGGTTACATTTACCGATAGAAAGATACCAACTCACCTGCCACGTGCATTGGTATTAAAGAGTTGGATTCCTGGCACTACTCAAAAAATATTGATATGAATTTGATATGATGAGATAAAATACCTGTACAACTGTTGCAAAGACATCATCTTCAACTAATTGTGAGAATTCGTCCGCCCAACTTTCCTTTCGGCCATAAGTGGTGTTTTGCCTCTCGGCTTCAAGCATAATGGAGTCACGATACAAGAATCTCTGCCAGATTTTCTGCACATTTCCTAGCTTGAATTCTATTTCTGTCTTATTAAATGCCTGGAAGGATTGGAAAGGGAAACAATAAGGCATCTTAATGCTTTCAAACTTTTTAATAAATTTTCAAAACTAGGAAAAGAAACAAAGAGTTTACCCTAAGAATGTTTATCAAGTTTGGAATTTCATCTTCACGTAACCGAACAGCAAAGCTTTCATAGTTAAGCGCATTCTCATATGGTAGGTAAATCCCATCCTAAACAAGGAACAAAACATAAGAAACATGAATTTTGATTACTTCTTATTTTGACCAAATTGGTAAGATGCTGTCAATTCCGAGTGAAAAATAATCATAAAGCCACTCCAAAATAACTCCATAGTTCTTTTATGCCTTTTAAGTCTTTTGACATTCGCCAGATTTAGACATCACTCAATAGCTCACAAGTCTAAGAAACTAGATTTTCAACGATGTTATGATAAGCTAATCCACAGGGATACAAAAAAAAAAAATAATAATAATAATAATAATAACACCTGAATGATCACAGGGACACACCCTTGTAAAATGCTATCTTCCATCCGTCCACTCCAACCATCGCCTGGAAATACCCCACAGAAAATGGAGCTAGCTAAAGCTTCGTGATAGTTCACGGAACGTAGAGGGGTAACAATCACGTCCTCTGCATGTTGTTTCCCAAGCATGCCTTCCTTGTTCGGGCTTGATCCAAATTCTTCTGCTAGTTTCTGTCTGATTCCCATGCTGTACCTGCATAAATATCACCATATTCATGTCAGAGCTTATGCAACTAAGTACATAAATATACCAAAAATCAAAGATAAAAAAACCCCACTTCTTCTACAACTCAATAAACATCACTGATTCTCAACGTCTCATCTTTACGACTTATCAAAGTTTTTTTTTTTTTTTTTTTTTTTTTTTTTAATTTTATTTTGAAAGAAAAAAGAAGAAGAAGAAGAAGAGAAATAGGAACAATATTATTGACAACGGACACTTAATTGGTTGTCTATATACGATTTTAAAACCTACACATTTCCTAGCAAGATTTGCAAACTGCTTGTAAGTTTACTTACGATGCTTCGGGTCTTCCATGCTCATAAGCTGGTCCCAGATTTCCATTGAAGTAAAAAAGGGTCTTCCGCTTCTCAAGTGCTCTGAAAATAAAGAACCAACACTCCAATATTATTATATTTCGCCAAGAGGTATATAAGCAATGAGACTGCTTTAAATCAACAGTGTACCTAGCCCAAAGTTTCAATCTTAAGGAGTCGACATCAGGTCTTTTCCAGGCAGGAACAACAAGATCTTTACGCGGGTCAAAGCACTGATGGTTGCCTCTTGTAGAAGAAGGAATACTGTCCCAGTTGTCAGCCCAGTAGGCTGTCGTTGAATAATTATGCTTGGAGTTGGTATTACCCCAGTGAACCAACATCATGCTGTTCCAAATCTCCTTAGGGGCATAGCAAGCACCTTCATCCCACGAGAAAAACTGCCTTCAGATATAGACGTGTCCTCATTAACATACTTACTGTAATTGTTACTTCAAAATTGCAAAGAACTAAATAATAGACAAGCAATGATAATAGTAAGCATTTTCTCTCCTTGTTATTGTCACTCTTATTTGCATCATACCCAAATGTGGTCTTTTCCGGATGAGCGGTTCCAAAACAGATATTGTTGAACAATGTGATCATATGCCTTCTTATAGAATTCCAGAGTGAGAGAGCTCCTCAAGCCCCTGTGATTCTGAAAAATTTCCAGGTGTTGTGCGCATACTATAGTATTACATAAAGCATTTGACAGATTTTTATTTACTTATTTTTTGCTCAAGTGATGCTGAGGATTTAACAAAGAAACAAGGAGATTGAATAGAGATGAGGGAATATACCAAAAATAAATCGCATGAGAAACAATGGCCTAAAGAGAAAACTGACTACACAAACCTAAATGCGAAACTGTTTTCAGAATCAAGAAACGAGGTAGACAAAGTAAAGCTCTATTTTCCAATCCCATTAGCTTAAGAATATGGCTTCATATAAAAGAAAGTAAAATTAATGTTTAAAAGCATACCTCCATGCTCAAGTGAGGAGCATCATCAGCCCGAGTTATAATGCACGAATCAAGAACAGGTACAAAGAAAAAATCTGCTTCCTCACCGTTTAAAGTGCGGTGTGGACTTGCTAAGAGACTCTCATAAAATGCTACCTACAAAAGTAGTGACATAACAAAGGAAAATACCCTAAGCATTTTATAGTTTTATTATGTTTATTACAGATCACAGTTCTGATTTATACCTGGCCACCATACAACATGTCTGACCACAAGGTAGCATTACGTTCATCATATATTCTATTTACACACTCTAACTTGAAATGGCGTCCCTACAAGAAAGCACTTAACGAATTAAATAAACAACACTCTTGCTCTTGGCAGGTAAAAAAAAAAAAAAAAAATGAACAAAAAAACAAAACAAAAAAATTAAGTTCATTATCACCTCAAGAAGCAGGCTGTTGAAATCTGGTGGCAAGTCATAGACATAAATAAGGGGTCTTTTCTTTTTTACAATAGCGTTGAGGTTGACGAGTTTCTTGCGGAGATGCAAACTATCTGGAACTTCAAGATGAGCAGGAAGAAGCCATTGAGGCCACTCTCTAATAGATGACATGACGGATGGAACACTGCAATCTATTCCATACCAACCATTGTTGCACTGGAACATGCATAAACTCGGTTACACAACAGATAACAAAGGGAAATTACATAATGGAAAATTTTATTTGAGATGGTTTATGCTAATTATAAATGGGTTCTAAATTCCTAATTTTGGTCGCTTGTGCCAATAGTATTCAGTTCAAAATTTATTTTCCTAACGTCACACTTATCTATAAATGATAACTTGATGGCTGCCCAAGTTTTTTTTAACCCTCTCTAAAGAAAACAGGACACCACAATCCTCTCAGTGTAGTCACCTGACAAAATCCACCACGGCAGTGTCCACGACCTGAACATTGATTAATACAAGTACTTTGAACAGGCACTTCACAGAACCGACCCCAGAGACCATCATATTTGCAGTCACATTCCTCTTTGAATTGCACCTTGTTAGCATACGCTTCGGCTGGGTCTACATTGCACCATCCTATTTTACTACCATTAGTTGTGAATACATCCATGTCAGCTTTTGCCCAATCAGTCAGTTTGGGACCATCTGGTTCAGAGCGTAACCTGATAGAAGTGTCAATACATTTCATACTCGCGTTCTCTAACCTGTAATACTATAATGAAAGCCTTATGAGGATCTAATCACGCTTACTTAAGCTGAAAGCCACACGACTCTGCCAAAGGACGATTGGGATATTTCGTGCCTTCCCCACAGAAGCACATTGCTCTTGTTGTGTCACAATGAGCAGGACAGATAGAGACAACCCATCTCCCATGTGGGAGATCTGGTAACGCCGGGTAATTGCAGTTCAATTGCAGTCTCTCAGAGCATCCTTTGCCTGCAATTTTAGCAGATTTTATCAGCCAATGAAGATCAATCATATGAGAGCTTAATAAATTGAAAGTATCAACTTATTTCCATTTCTTCAATCACGATTTCATAACTATTAACATCATAGAAATTTTGACACAACAGAACAAAGTATAATTGGATATCAGAATTAAGTAACCACTTGCATATGCTTCTTATTAACCAACACTTTTCAAATTGAGAAAAGGAAGAGAAAAAAAGAGATACTTACCATTATATCCATGATAGCACCGACATTGTCCCAATTCACGATTGCATACGCCTTGGCCAGAGCAGTCATTTTTGCAGCCATTGCCACCAATAATCTGTCAACCAAACAAGAAGTTTAGGGAAGCCAAGTAAAAGCCAACCTTAAAAGGCTTTTTTATTTTATTTTATTTTTTTCCTGAATGGGGCCTATGGCATTACCTGAGACCCCTAACCCAAACCCCTCCCCTCCCACCATCTGAGCTAACCCCATATGGGTAAAAGGAAAAACCACAAGGAGTTTTGTTAAATGACACACACAAGATCCGTGTTTTAACAGAATAGAATCCTCGTATCACCTCAACAATGTTAACTTCTTTAGCAACTGAATCACACCCAGCCAGCCACCAACCAATCTCGGCCTTCCACGGGGCACCACGATAAACAACTGCATTGTGCAAGTCGGAAGGAAACCGGAGATCTAGATCAATAGGCTGTTGTGAACTTTGCCTTTCTTTAACAAGTCCAGTTTTCACTTCAGATGATCCATTCATGGGAACACATGAAGTCTGGGGGAGCCTGAAGTAATTAAAACGAGGCACCAAAGGAAACAAGAAGAGATGAACCACTGAAACCAGTGCCAAAAGAGAAGCAATTGTGGCAATCAGAGACCAAGAGAATCTCCATTTCTGAACAGATAGCATTCTCTCTTTCAACCCTCTTCAGTGATTAAAGATCTCTAATATTTACATAAACCAACATATCATCTTCACCACCAAAAACCTATAAAATTATTAGCAAATCAGCTCACGTAAAAATAAATAAATAAATAAAATTCAGGAAATAATAGTTATTAAAACAAATACCCAATTCAATTCACATAAACTTTCAACCTTTGCAAAAATCACATGTTAACAAAGTGTGAGAAAAAAATGGAGTTAGACAACCTTGAAAGTTCCACATTGACCCAAAAATCCAATATCTTAACTGACATTAAGTTTCATTCCAAAACCTCAAATTCATAAAAAAAAAAATAAAAAAAATAAAAAAATCCTAAACCCACCAGCAATTTTTTATTTTTTTTTTCAAATGAGCCGTATAACCCCATTAATAGCCAAGACGTTATGAAGAAAAAGTCACACACAAAAAAAAAAAAAAAAAAAAAAAAAAAAAAAAAAAAAAAACCTTCAACGAGGACCGACTTACCCCTTTGTATAAGATGCGAAAAATTCTGCAAACAAGGACCTGAATATACAAACAAAAGAAAAAGAACTGAGACCAGAAAAAACATAGAGAAAAGTCAACAAGGAAATTGAGATTGGAAAGAGACAAATATAGGAGTGTTTATTTACCAAACATGACAAATGCCTGTTGTTTAAGGTTGTCCGGTGCAAACCCAGATGTGGAAAAAATGGAAAATAATAAAATATATTTTCAAGTCCTCCACAAACGTACAAAGCATCTAGCGAGGGAGAGAGAGAGAGAGAGCGATCACTTCTGAACTTTTTTTTTACCGCTGGTGTGGGGGGTGATTTCGTCAATTGGCTAAGTACCGATGTACTTACATAACGTCCTTTTTTTTTTTTTTTCTTAATTCACAACCGCACCCCTCTTAAGCTCATTTTATTTGGTATACTCAAATTTAAATTATTAATTATTTTATAATTTTTTTTTATCACAAAAAACTTAAATTTTAAGTGTTAAAATCAAAAATCATAATTTATCACAATGTTTATACGGGCGTTACAAGCAGACACGTGATCCAAACATGATTAAAACTATAAAAAATTACGTTTTACTGAAAAAAAAATATTAAAATTATAACTTATGAAAAGCTCAATAGTAAGTTTTGTACTATTTTAAATTAAATAGAGGCCAAAGTAAAACGACCTTTATTCTTTAGGCCAAATTTAAAATTAACACTTAAAAATTTAAAATTGTTTGGTAAGCTATAACTATAATAGTTGTGTTGGTTTTAAAATCAGAGTAATAACGTTTCAGAAATTATGAGGTTGAATTTCTTTAGATAGTTAAAAATTATAATTATAATATAATATAATATAATATATATAATTACAATATAATCTATATTTATTATTATATTTAATATAATAAAAAACTATTATTATATAATATATTAATAACATATTATATAACTATGATATAGAATATAATAATATTATTAAAATTGTTAATATAATTATAATATTATAAAATATATTATAATAATACATAATAAATATTAATATTTCAGTTATAATATAATTAAAAATTACAATTATATTATATTATAATATAATATAATATATTATATATTCATTATTATATTATATTAAACAAATATATTTTAATTAATATATTATATAAGCATGTGTAATACATTATAATATATAATAATATTAGAATTATAAGATTATATTAATATTTAATTATATTAATTCTTATATTATTATTAATATAATAAATATAATTATATCAATATACTATAATATATAATATATTATAAAATAATAATTACAATATCATATTATAATTATATTATAATTATAATATCATATTATCATAATATTATTATAATATCATTTTATATGATAAAATAATTATATTAGAGCTATTAATATAATTATGATATTATTTGTTACAATATTACGATTATGTTATGTTATATTATATTATATTATATTATATTACGAGTCTGAATTTAAGATTGAGAAGATTGTCAATTTTAAATTTTATTAGGGGTATTATGGGTATTATGAAAGTTTCGTTAATTGTACTATGTTAATTCCCGCACAATCTAAAAGGTAAAGTTGTCTTAGACTGCTTCTGATTTTGGCTATAGATTCTTGAAAAATTCTTCAAAAAACACTTTTGAGGAGATTTACCAAACACTTTTGAGGAGATTTACCAAACACTAAAATCAGTTTCTACTACAAGCAGAAGCTGATTTTGGGATGGAAAAGCAATACCAAACTAAGCCTTATTCTTTTCCCTCTTATTTTCATTTTTGAATTCGTTCGTTTGTGGCCATCTTTTTTCTCGATTTTCTCTTCTGTGACCTTCATTCCTTATTTGGCATTCATACAAAGAAATCAGATAAGAGAAGGTTGGTGTTTATTTGTTTTTCTTCATTTTTCCATTTCTCAGATCGTTTTTTTTATTGTTGGTCTATACTATTGTTTTTGTATTCTTCGTTCATATCTATTGTTGGGTGGGAAAATATGCGTTGACACGTCAGATGACGGCCATGCTCCACGTGGCCCTATACTTGCCACGTCAGGTAGCTGTCGACGCCTAAAACTCATTTCCCCCTCCATCGGGTGAAAAGGCCGATCATATGGGACGATTCAAACATTCGAGGCCTGCATGATTTGTTCGCAAAAGCAATACCATGATGCGGTCGACCGAGACAGAGGTTGCGCTCTATGAAGTAGTGTAGGCGCAGAGGGCAGAATGCAGGTAAATAGGTCCACATCCCAAGAAAGACCTCTAAGGTGACAAGGGGAAATCCCTAGGTTACGTCTGGGTTTAGAGAAGGTCAGTAGCACAGGAAATGATTTCATGCCCATAAACTGCCTAGAACAGACCAATCGAAATCACAAAGGATCCGCATAGCCGCAATAGTAGACAAAGTAGGTGAGTGAACAATCCAAAAGGTGCTGAGATGATACGGCCTAGGCAGGTAGGGTCATAGTCTACTTGAGGAAAACCATCAGAGAATCCCCTGAGATGATCCACCCTTACATGTAATCTCTAGGGTATAAAAGGGGCAAAGCCCCAGAGAGAAAAGGGGAGTCGTTTTGTAACAATTGAAGAACAAAGATAAATACAATAAGCAGTGGATGTAGCTCTTTTTTGATAGAATGAACCACTATAAACCCGTGTCTTTCTACTTCTGTTCAAATAGCAAATCAATACCTCTCTCAATATACCTAAAAAATAAACACAATCAGTTGTGTAAATCCGAGAAAATAATTAGCTTTGGCCGGTAACCCAACGGACTACCGAGAGGTAATCCGGCGTAATGTTGTTGACAAAAATCCACCGTCAACAATTGGCGACTCCGCTGGGGACCGAACCTAGAATCTCTGGTTCGTGTATTCAAGACCCGAGACCACTAAGAAATAACGAACGATCATGCCTCCGAGAAGAGGAAAAAATAGCGCTACAAATCAAGGTAGCCAAACGGAGGAGAACGCCACGCATCCGCTCGACGGTGGGGGCGGAGGAGATCAACCCGGCCAGGGGAATCAATCTCGGGTGAGGAACGAAACTCCACCCCTGGATATGCCACAGCTTGACCCGGTACAGATGCAGGCCCAGTTGAATGCTCTGACTGACTTGGTTCGGGAACTGATGACCGCCGTCGAGCGGATGGATGGGAGAAACTCCCTGCCCCTTCTGGAGGACGCCCCGAGACCACTGGGTTCCACCGTCGCTGGGAACCAGAATGTTGGTGACCAGTGCGATGTCCCGGAAGGGATCAGGGAAAGTGAAAATATCAGAGGGGATAACCCGAGGCCTTAACCGTCCAAGTCCCTCAGTAGCCGACAAAGGGCCGCCAGGCGACGAGCCCAAGAGAAATGAGCAGTAGGAGGTTTGGAGAACCCTGAAGCACCACCTCGAAACCTGGGTAGGAATATCCCAGGAGATTTAGGGTCGGTACAAAAGGGTGGAGACCTGAGGAACAAGCTGGATGCCAAGAAGGCAGAAGCCTAAAAAAGGGTCAGTTCCACAATCTCAACGGAGGAGGCAAAGGCCATCATGGAGCGCGTGGCGAGCTTAGAAGAAAAGTTCACAGATGATGTCGTCAATTTGAAAAAGGATATGAAAAGCTAGGTGAGTCACCTACAAAAGAACCTAGGGTAGGTGGCGCAGGTGGTTAATGTCGACATCACTCACAGTCGAACTCATGACCACCCTTTTACCGCAGAAATCATGGCGCCACCTCACCCAGACAAATACAAGTCCCCATAGATCCCACCATATGACAGCAGAGGAGATCTCGACGACCATCTAGAGATGTACACGAGACACATACTTCTGCATAGATATGCAGAGGAAATAATGTGCTGAGCGTTCCGGAACCACTTAACGGATTTTGTCTGAAGATGGTTTCGGACACTCAAACCAGACTCCATCTCCAGCTGGGATGAATTAAAGGAATCCTTCTCCCTCCAGTTCATTGGGGTAAAAAAGTATATCCTGCCGAAGCAAAATTTAACAATGGTTTATCAAAAACTGAACGAGTCATTAAAAGAATGGCTGGCAAGGTACGGAGAAGCCGTCGCCACTACAACGGATATGACGGATCATGAGGCTTTGATGAGGGCTCTATCTAGTATGAAAAAGAGCACGCCGTTTAAGCGTGACCTGAACCGAAAATCACCGGCCAGCTACAAAGAGTTCTTAGCACAGGCACATGGATATATCAATGCTGAGGAAGCCGAAGCAAACGATCCCGAGCATAGATCCAATAAAAACAAAGGAATGAACTAAGGATCGACCTCGGGGAAACAAGACAATCGAAAATGACGAGGTGGAGGAAATAGAGACAAACAGGTCACGTCGGCGTTGAACCCCCCGAAAATGAAGAAGCCAAGGCAAGAGGAAACTCAGAAGCCTCACCCATTCCAACGTTATGATTCCTATCATGAGCTGAATGTAAGGGTATTCAATTAGGTCAGCCGGGGAAACTTATTGCGCTGACGAGAACCTATGAAGTCAGATCTAAACCGAAGGAATCAAAACAAATATTGTAAGTTCCATGGAGAAGTCAGTCATAACACCAACGATTGCACTAACCTGAAGGATGAGATTGAAAGACTAATCCGTGAGGGGAGGTTGTAAGAATTTAAAGCTGATAGGAGAGGCCATGGTCACGGAAACGACGGTCGGCACCGGGAGGACAATTGGCGGGGAGAAAATCACGAGCCAGTCGGTGTCATAAGGACCATCCATGGGGGACCATATCTTGGGGGGATTCAAGGAGATCTAAAAGAATTACACCCATGAGGTAAGACAGGTGTACCAAGAGAGGTTTTGGAACCTCTCAACTGCCAAGCCAACAAAGACAACAAAATTCGGTGGTACTGAAGTGGTATTCACCGAAGAAGATGCAAACGGGGTTCATTTCCCCCATAATGATGCCTTGATAGTGAAGGCAGTGGTTGAAAACCACACCGTATGCAGAATCCTCGTGGACAATGGAAGCTCGGTGGACATCAT